CGTGTTTTGAGGTTACTTATATATTAATGCCATCACTTTTAGTAAACCCCTGTTGCATTGTTTTAGTCTACATAGTATTAATACCATAAAATTGTTTATATTGTAATGTTGTCTATAACCATTTGAAAATGCTGAAAAGTCATCATGCCAGACGAATAAGCCAACTGCTAGTGTAATGGATGTACAGCTTGGGGCGCAGAAAACCATCGTCTACTAAATGAATGTCGATGAATTGTTTCCAAACGTGTCCAAGCTTGGCACAAGCAGTGTTTCTTGTGTTTTGCATACATGAAATTATTGACAATGTGCATCTTTTAAAGTAATGTCAGTGAGATAAGGAAGAATATCCGAGACAAGAACAATTCGTAGATTTTTCTATCTTACATGTACATATGTAGTATAGATAGGGGTTAAAATCAGTAGCTGGGTTGCAGTAAGCTGAGGCAGCGTAAATACACAGCCTATGTCCGGGCCACACATCGAAGAATAGAAGGAAGGGCCTTGCTACAATTACTTGATAGTTTACCCAATCTGGAGCTGAGCAAATGCCATTCAGCAATATAGCTTCCATGTTGAGTTTTCTATCAGTCTGCCGTTCGGACTGGCCAATGCATCTGCATATATGTCAGCACCAAAAAATAATCGCGTTGTCCTACATGTCGCGAATTATGAGCGCGGATAGCGAAGAAAAAATTCACCAATGTGCAGGTAGGCTAGGGTGCGAGAGATCACCATGATTCTGTAGGTCAACCTTAAGGAAACCTGATCTTGCCACAAAGTTAATCCTTATAAAATAAACCCGATTGTACTCTTTAAAGAGGAAGTATGTGTAGTAGAGAGTCATTGAAGTGGAAATGCCTTTTCGAGCTGTCCTGTCTCACAAATTCGCGGGGTTCTGTCGAAACCCTCGGAAGGCACATCCCTGAGGGGGGGCCCCTTAAAAAACAGTTCAATAAGACTAAGTGGGGGAGTTCTTTTACAATCTGCTGTAGTGATGGACCAGGTGACCCAGAATTAAATTTTAGTTGCAAAATGTTTTTATGGAGGCTTTACCTGTAAGATTTGGTCGTTGTCGATGTCCGTCGATTCCCCCCTGCCTTCACACCTCTTCCTCAGGACTCTCTTTATTCCACATCAGCCAGGGCTCAAATCACATGTCCCCCTCTCAGCCTGACACTCCCCGTCGGTATGTTTGCACATCTTTTGAAGCTAACGCGTGCTTTAATTAATTGTCCCAGCTTCTCCAGAAACAATGTCCTAATTCTGGCCATTTAGCATGACGTATCCATAAGTTGTTGTTATCATCCCCGCCAGATTTCTGTAAATAGTCATATTCAAAAACTTTAATCCTTAATGGAAATGAAGTGCCAGCCTGAAAAGCCTGTCATTGTGCTGAGATAAATATTATCTAAGCTAAAACCTTCACTCTCTTCCCTCACCCTTTCCCTTCCTTCCTGCACCCTCCCCACTTCCTCTGACTTAATGAATATGTTCAAAGATTTCAGAGGAAATGCTTAATCCCAAAACACAACAATCTAATAATATGAAGGACCTGTCTCAGTGTTCTAGCGACAACAGCAATGTGGGCTACAAGTTTACCGCAGCTGAGGTTTTGCCTGGCTTCAGGATATCAGTGCTTGGTAGCCCTAAAAGACGTTTGATTGACAGAAAAAAATAGACATTTTTAAAGGATATTGTTTTCAGCTCTTTTGAAAAACACATTTACATATGACCTTCAGTGCATAGTTGTACTTGAGAAGTTTTTTTTAAGATATCTGTGTGTGAATTTCAGGAATTTCCTAAACCAAATGGAGGTTTTATAGTAACTCCATAGCATATGAATAACTTGGACAGCATCCTCTTGAGAAATAAGGGCCATTATTTTGGAAAGACTGTTGCCTGCCGAAACTACTTACATGTCACTTTTTTTTATACTTTAAGGGGGAACGAGAAAAAAAAAATCCACTCATGTTTTTCCCACTACATACTGTCTATGCAACCAACCTTATTATACCACCATTGAGTCTTTGAGATGTTGTGCACACAATATATTTCTTATGTTCCATAACTGCCTTGACATTTAAGTTCACATATACATGCAGTAACATGCTCTTCTCTTGGGCATCGGTTCTAAATCTCTCGTCTATTTCTGTTTGTGCTCAGGTGGCCAACTATGGTGCACCACCACCCAAGAAACATGATGGAGGGCGAGGAGCGGTGGCATTTGCGGTGGACTTTGACACGCGTCTGCAGGCGGTGAACCCACATGTCTCTGAGCGAGGGCTATGTACCCAGCCAGGCTGCTGGACAGGCATCGCAGCTCCCTGCCCAGCAGGCCCGCCATGGCCTTCCATCCTGCCCACTGCCATCGTGAATCAGTGAGTGTCCCGTGCATCAACACCAGCAAGACATGCTTTTGTTCCCACCAATCACAACATGCATGCTCTCCTTTTCTCTCTCGCACACACACACTGTTCCACAGCCTGCACTCAGTCACCTGCTTAACAAGGAGCGTCGTCTCCGCCGGGCGTAGATTAACCCAGATGAGTCTCTGCGCCGGAGATAAGAGCCATCGACCTTCAAGTTTTGGGTTCACATAAACACACTGAGGCTCGCACTAACGTGTTAATTGCAAAATACACGCCTCATGCAAATAGTGTGTTTGTTTACTTAGCGAGGGCTATCTGGGTTCAGCTCGACAGGGAGGCTTCTGTAAGCAGATGGTCCAGTGTTCTTGTTTGCCCTTGAGAAAGGGCACCAACCGAGTGGTAGCAACACAGCGATATGCAGCAGCTGAGGATTTGGTGGAAAAGCCTTTTAACGCAGGCTTTGAGAGTCAGAACTGTAGAGAAGAGGAGTGTGTGTGTGTGTGTGTGTGTGTGTGTGTGTGTGTGTGTGTGTGTGTGTGTGTGTGTGTGTGTGTGTGTGTGTGGGCGTGTGTGTGTGTGCGTGCAAGCTCTTTATCTTTATACTTATGCATAAATGTGAAAGTGCGCTATATGTCCTGATATCCTGTACCCTTTGTCCTTTTCCTTGTCCCTCCAGAGGACATCTTCCCCTGCAAGGCATGTGGGATCTGGTTCAGGAGCGAGAGGAACCTGCAGGCCCATCTGATGTACTATTGCAGTGGGCGACAGAGGGAGCCAGAGACGGTGCTGGAGGAAAACGACAGCGGCCCCCACCAAACCCCCAGTGTGTGCCCCTTCCCACAGTGCACCAAGACCTTCTCTGGAGCCAGGGCCCTGGAAATACACCTGAGCACCTCACACAGTGGTGAGTTTCATCCATTCAGAACACTCTTTAACATAATAGATTACAATATTTTTTACATATGACAATTCATGAAGGTGGATACTTTCAATTCATTTTTTAAGTAAGATGTTTTAGAAAAATATACACAGGGACAGAGTTTAACACAGGTTTGAAAAAAATGACTGTCATTTCCTTTCAGAAATATACATATCCTGCTGTCAGCTTGCATAGTTGACAGTTTATCCTTGAGCAACAAAAAAGAAATCGAGTGGATGGGAATAAGCTTGGCATATTGCATGAGCGTTTGATGGTGTCTAGAGTTAACTCTAAAGGAGAAGTGGGAGGCGAGATTCTGAGCATTTCTCCCTTTTATCTCCTTCACAGGTGTCAAAATGGAAGAGAGCCTCCCTCCTGGCACCAGCTTGAAATGCACAATCTGTAACTACACGGCAGATTCTCTTATTACATTCCAGCATCACATCATGTCTCACCTGTCACAGGCGGCCTTCAGATGCAATCACTGCCATATCAGCTTCCAGAGCCACAGGGAACTCTTACAGCATCAGGACTTACATGGGCACGGTAGCAAACTTCACAGGGAAGGCGACGGCACCGAGCATTCCCCCAGGGGGCCCGAGGAAAGCCTCCAGCAGCAGAAGCAGCAGGCCCGCGCTGAGCTGGCCAACAGGAAGGATGCTCTGCTGGGAAGTCCCAAAGGGGCCCTCAACAAGGAGACCAGCACAGACGGAGAGGCTGACAAGGCGGAGAAGAAGCCCATGCTGTCCCTTCAGAAGGGAGAGGCTCACCCAGGCAGCAAAGCCAGTTTTTCTTACACTAGGATCAAGTCTGAGCCCTCCAGCCCCCGACTGGCCTCCTCCCCTGTGCAGCATAACATGCCTACATTTCCCATGGGCCCCTTCTTGTCTCAGTTTGCTTTCTCCCAAGACATTTCAGTAGTCCCACAGGCTTCTGAGATTCTTGCTAAAATGTCAGAGCTAGTTCACCGGAGGCTGCGCCACGGAGGGAACAACTACCCCCCTGTCATCTACAGTCCTCTTATGCCCAAGGGGGCCACCTGTTTCGAATGCAATATCACCTTCAGCAACCTAGACAACTATTTGGTCCACAAAAAGCACTACTGTAACAGCCGCTGGCAACACATGACGAAGTCCCCCGACTTCTCCGCCCTCTCAGACAAGGTTCCAGAAGCGGTGAGCCCCAACAGTGGGCACAGTTCTGTTAACATGTTGACCGGCTGCCACCCTACGGACGCCGACAACCACCTCATGCAGTCCGCCTGTCTGACCTCCAATGTGTTGGACATGATCAATGCTGGGGCTAAAGGGCCAGAAAAGGATCTAGCTGGACAGGTGAAGAAGGTCTCTACCCCAACAGGGGCTGAAGAGAGGCTCAATGGCCAGCCCTTGGAGGGAAAAAGCCCCACTACTGGTCTGGTGGAAAGTGACAATGACCCAAACAAGACGGTCTGTGAGGCCTGCAATATCACCTTCAGCCGCCACGAGACCTTCATGGTCCACAAGCAGTACTACTGTGCCACCCGTCATGACCCACCCATGAAACGCATGTCCAGCAACAAGGTCCCCTCCATGCAGAGAACCATCAGGGCCCGTAAGCGCAGGAAGATGTACGAGATGTGTCTTCCTGAACAGGAGCACCAGAGGCCCATGGGTCAGCCAGGTTTTCTCGGGGTTCCTCCAATGAACCCTTGTACATCCCAGGAAGCAGTAGAGAGCCTAGCAGATCGCTTCCACCCGCGCTGTGACATCTTCCCTGGTATGGTACCCAAACACCTGGAAGCCTCTCTGACTGTCACTAAACCTATCATGGCTCCCAAATGCAATACAGGGGAGCAACAGGAGCTGGACACTCCCATCGATCTCAGCAAAAAGTGTTCGCCAGCCTCTGACAAGACATGTAGCTCCCCTAAAAGACTGTTGGACTATCACGAATGTGCAGTGTGCAAGATAAGTTTTAACAAAGTGGAGAACTACCTGGCGCACAAACAGAACTTTTGCCCAGCAACAGCCGCCGCCGCTGCTGCTGCTGCTGCTGCTACTGCCACCGCCGCCGCTACTCAACACCAGAACGAGACTGGCAGCCTGGAGCCGACCATGTTCCCCGATGTGAAGATTGAAGCCAACAACAACCCAGATGAAGTCTACGATAAGAGCCCGGGAAAATGTGAGAAGAATGGCAATGGGAAAGTGTTGTTGCAGAATGGAGGCATGTTGCCCCCTCACTTGGGGCCCGCGCCAGGAGCCAAAACTTTTGCTGAGCCCCAGCTCATCCCATCAAAAGATGAGAGCAAGAATATGTTTCTGTCCCACTGCCTCTATCCCGGAGCAATAAAGAAGATGAAAGGTCCCGAACAATTGTCGCCGTATTTCGGGATAAAGTCAACTGATTATGTGACTGGCGGACCAGCGATGCAGGGAGAGGCCAGCGAACAGGAGCAGAGCGTTAATGGGGGAGGTGGCACGGGAGGAGGGGAGACAGGAACAACCAGAGAGCAGGCCCAGCCGCCTGCTGCTAACGGTTGCCCCCACCCCGGCAAGGAACCCCTACCCCTACTGCCCAAAAACCGAGGCATGGTCATCGTCAACGGGGGGCACAAGAACGAGGAGCGTTCAGGCACGGCTCCTCCACAGCAGGAGAATCTGCCAGACGGCCAGCCCCCCAACCCTTCACCCACGTGGGCCACCGAGAACCAGGGCGACTCCAACGAGAACATGTCGCCTTCCTCCAAGTCTCCAAGCGAAGAGGCGCCGCCCACAACCAACAAAGGTGTGAACGGCTCTGGAAGTGGCAAGTACTGCCGCCTCTGTGATATCCAGTTCAACAACCTGTCAAACTTTATTACCCACAAGAAGTTCTACTGTTCATCACATGCTGCAGAGCATGTCAAATAAGTTGAGAAGAATAAGACACGTTCTTCTTTTTCTTCCCCCAGCCCTATTCCCTTCCAAACTTTGACCCCCTTTTTTCTCCTATGTTTTGGTACACTGTTGTGTCTGGAATAGTGCATCACGCAGTGCTATACGCTGCTTGTGGACAATCAAGAGAAGCTTCTTCTTTCATTGTTTTAAGACTTGATAATGCAAAAACCATTGGTTAAAAAAGAAAAGAAAAGAAAAATGAATCAAGAATAATATTGGTGCCACTTTCACATTAATTTATTTTACAATCAGTATTAATAGAAGTAGTGATCTTAATTTAAATTCAAAAGGAAATTTATATCAGAGTTGTTTGTAATGTTATTGTATAGTCATTCTTGTGTAGCACACATATTGTTTACACTGTAGTGTAGGCTCAATTAAACAAATAGACAATACAAAAATGAGATGCATTTTAGACACAAAAATAGCTACTGAGGCACTTGTGTATTCTTATTTGCTGTTCCAGTTTCTGTATATGCTCAAAATGTCAATTGCAGATTGCTACTAATGACTTGTTTGCCTTAAAAAAAAGAAATCACCATTTGGGGGTGATAACCAGGCACAACCTGCATCTCACATTTTGGCATATACACATGGCTTTGCATACATATGTGGCTGTTTGTCCCTGTCTCTTTTCTTCAACTCAGATGTGGATGTTTTCATGAGATTGGCAGCATTCTTGTATAGTACTCGTATTTCTGTTTGATGATACACTTTGGTCTCCCTTTTTGAAATTTGCTCTCAATGCAATACTTTGTAAATGAGGGAACATTACTGAAAAGCAGTATTATGAAATGGGGACTGTGCATATAATTATTTGTAAACCCCAAAGGGAAAAAAAAGAAGTTGTACAAGAATTTATTGCTGACGAACAAGATGGGCGGGAGGTCAGTGGGGATACTGATGTAAAAATGATCATTCCAATGTCCTGATTATGGGAGAAAATGTTTCTTAAAACGTTGTTGCTATGCATGTATATGGATGGAATTAAATTCCAGATCTGTTGGAAATTTTTATTTTGATGTGGTGTCATAATTAAACTTAAATCCTCAGGATAAACCGCTGTTGTCTGGTCTTTCTTTACTTGCAAATGTGAAAACTAGAGTATCTAAACATTTATTTTTGTAGGCAAAGTATTTGCTGGACTACAGGTCAATGTGTACATTGATTTTTGCCATAACTTAATAACTGTGTTGAAGTATGGGGCAACACATGAGTAACTTCATTTATTTTACAAAATGTCAGTGATAATTATTCATAATGTACATCCACAGGAACACACTTTTATTTACTCGGGCCTTTGAAAACTTAAGGATTTAATAGAATTTCAGTCTATTAGTTGTGTACAAAGAAAAAGAAAAATATCACAATATTTCCAAAGATTGTTTGTCTCAAAATTCTGAGGACATGCTACATCGAAAAACATTTCATTTTAGGCATCCGTTTGCACTAACTACCTTAAAATATATGTCTGTGTCTGTGCAGACATCTTTAGATTTAAGAAAATGTATACAAAACAATAATCAGACCGTATGAAGATGTTACGTAATATGTTTTGCTTCCGGTATATTTTTGTGATGACTGCTTGATTTTTTATGTTACTCTCAAAGTTTGTTAAGTAACTGCCAGCTGTGACGACAGACAAGCTCATCTTGAATAAGGTGCAGGTAAAATAAAAGTTGTTCTCCCTGCTCCATTCCATCACTGTGTAAAAAGTGTAAGTGTGTTCTTTGCAGGCCAGACTCATCTGCTCGAAAATTAAAAAAATTAATCAACTCCAAAGATAAGAGGTCCATATCTGGTTGTGATGTAACTCAATAAGTAACAAATGACACAGAGAGAGGAACTCAATTCATCTTCCCCTAAGGCTATAACAAGGCAGAATATTAAGGCCAAATGAAATAGATAAAAAAGTATCAGGGTGAGCATTGACGTGTGTGGCCTTTACATTGATAAGGGGTAATGTATTAATTTTTGTCTCAGGCCAATCGGGTAAAAAGGCTGAAATAACAACTTGAAGGATAAGATTTTCTGAATCTAAGACAGCAAATATTTCATCACGCTGAAAAACCCTCGTTATTCTCAATTCTAATGAAGCAGAGCGGCACAAAAAGATACGTGGACCTCTTGATGAACCTAACAAGTACACAGTCTCTACAGATTGCTGAAGGTAAAAAATATTTTATTGAATATTTAAAACATATTCAATGGTTATAGTCTAGTTGCCGGCATAGTGAACCCGGAAAGGTTGAGTACCTCAAAGTTTTATGATAGAAATGTATACTTTGGGTACATAAAAAAACTGCCGGATGCTAACTTTTATTGGTTGGGCAATTTGAACAATTAGCATAAGAAGCGTTAATTAAAATGAATGGCATTATAACATACGTATAGAATAGTAAATAGTCTTGGCAGGTTTTGACAATTGTGGAGTGTTTTTGAGGGTTATTGAGGTTTCTGAATCCATTTCTGACATTTGCACGATCAAAAATTGCAGTTTTAACCAGAAAGTGGCAATATTTGTACTCTTGGTGGGCTAAGTCTGACTACCATGAGTAGTGTTGCAACCATTGGAGATAGACAGCACAAGATGAAAATTATTAAATCTACTGTGGACAATTATTTTTGGAATAAATAGGCAATCTTTCCAATTCCAAGGATCCATAGTCCCCTAAATCTTACAAATCGACAAAAAATGTATAAAAATCCGCCCACAGAGTACAAATATTGGCCATTTCTTATCCTGAAAAAGTCAGAAATGGACTGGGCATCCTCATAACCCCCAAAACCACTCCAACATTTTCCAAGCCATTTTTAAACTATTGTCCACGCAACTTATGCTTATTGCGCAAATTGCCCAACATATGCAAGTTAGCATCCGGCAGTTTCTATGTGCTGGGGACCACTACTATACATTTCTATCAAAAAACGTTGGTGTACTCAACACAACCGGGTTCAAAATAGGACTATGAGCTGGCAGCTAGACTACTACCCTGTGTGTGTCGGAGGGGATTGTTACATGTTGGCCACAGGTCACTCGCTCTGCTGTTTGGCTTGTCGTTGGTGGACTAGCTTCCTCAGGTGCTGGCTGATGGCAGATGGCTTCTTGTAGATCATTCGCCGGTCTGCTCCTTTTATGTGAATGTGATTGGCTGATGGGTAAGACTCCTCCAGAAACTTTTTTTGAAGCCTGGCTACCATCTGGTGCAGGAAAAAAAAAGATTTATTATGGATTTTACCTGAGCGTTACTACAGTATTGTCCAGTAGAAGAGAGGTGAGTTCTCTCACCTGGTTCAGATGTTCTGGTATTTCCTGGTCAAAAGAATCCCCAGTGATCACACTCACTGCTGTCCTGCTGGAGAGGGGCTTAAACTTGGTGATGTCCCTTTTGAAAACAACAAACAAAACATTTAAATTTCATGGTTCGTTTTCACTTCCACATTAAATATGCAAATTGCAAAGCTGTTCGGAAAGTAATGACAAAGACTGTTAGTGTACCTGACTTGAGCTGCACTTTCATTTAAAAAGTAATGCTCATCCACAGCACTGCTCTGGTGGGCAGGGTTGCTCAGTAGGTATTTCTATAAGACAGAGAGAAAGAAAATAAACTAGTCAAAACACTTTTTTACTATTTCTTTGAGAGAGAAAACTAAAAAGCTACGTAATACACATTGGAACTTTATACATGTGTCAAACACATTATACAGAAATGAACCATTTCATGCTCTCATACATTTAACAAAAACAGCACTATGACAAACTTTATACTACATCATTCGGTTATATCAAAAATTCTGGAATATCAGGCAAATATTTCCAGAAGTATTATATTTCTAAGCAGGTTAACTTACCTCACAACATATGTATCCCTTTCTTTAACACTACAAGAAAAAATATGAAATTGGTGGAGGTCTGCGCTCTCCGAGTACCATTTTATTTTTTTGCATCACATTTTATCACTTTCTACCCAAGGTTCCCTTAAAAGAAATCAAAAACCAGACAAAGATGATATTTAAACAGTTGTGTCTTTGTATTCTGAGAAAGCTGTATAGTTTAGTTGAGTTTGTGTCTACATATACAGTACATAAGCAGTTTATAAAACACAGTACCTTTTTTAGTATATATAACAAAGTAAGAAGTTAGAACATTGTGCAGCAGTGTTGAGAAAATATGACGTATGAAGCCAAATCAATAGTAATACTTGAAAAAAAGTCTGCATAATTCTTCACAATTCCAAGACTAAGCATTCATTGACAAACTTCACATTGTTTCAAGTTGAGATGCAATAAACTATTTGCAGTGAATCCGGTGAAATACTGCGCTATCCAAGTCGTGGGATATGTCTACAAAATGATACATGAATACAAACAGCTTTACCTCATTCAGAACAGCCCTAACATATCATGTATATAAAAAAATAAAAAGGTATCATATTGTAGTAACCCTTCTATAAGCACAGGTGGAGCCGTATAACCAGTGGCGTAACTATCGATGGTGCAGCCGGTGCAACGCACCGGGGCCCAGAGCCGGCAAGGGGCCCCAATGGCATTGACTGGTTCACGCAGTCTTCAAAGTAACCAAGCAACCTAAATTAATTTGTAATTTGTCTGTCCAATGACCTTGCTCCCTTTCATGTCATGTGATACCTTGCGTGACGAGCAAACTGTTTAATCAACCTGTAGTGTACTGTAGCTAGCAGCAGCAAGTTCGGTAGCATTATAAAAAATGTAATAACTTGCATTTATAATGTACAACAAACCAAAGCACAAGAGCAGCGCTCAAAAGAGAGAGATGTAACAGCTAAACTGACAAAATTAGACCGTTTTCTTTGTCATGCATCGTCCTCGAAATCGAGCGCTAACGTTAGCAATTTTGACGTGCAGCCGCAGCCGGAGGCTAACGATAGCTCACCTGCCTCACCACCATCATTGCCATCTAGCTCTACAAGTGAAGCTGTATCTGTGGCCGTGGCTGTGCAACCTTCTTCTCCAGCCAGCCAGGAGGAGAGGCTGGATTTGGCAGTGCCTGGCGGTGGTCCAACAGTTCCCCCAAGGGCCCCAACCGATAGGGGACTCTATGGCGCTATTGAGACCCCTGACGCCAAGATCAAAAGCTATATTATAGCAAGCGGTCTATGTAGGCCTACCGGCCCATTCCCCAGAGACAAACATCAAGGAAACAGGTGTAATCCTCTTCTTAGTTCGCTGTGCCGTTGTCAGGCTGTGGTGGTCTGAGGCCAGGGCAGGCTGTTGTTGATAGCCTATACATGTGGCGCCTCCGAGTGGTTGTGTATGTCCGTGAGTGTGTGAGCGCATCAGCGTGCGTACTGACTGAATCAATGCAAAAAGATAATGTTACTTTTTTGTTGAAACTTAATTTGCATGTCCCAAGATGTTTTTTGAAAAGACATGAAAGCCTAAACACTTCAGTCTGTGTCTTGCTCCAGACAGAATAATGATACAACATTGTAGACCTCAGGAAATGCCCAAATCAGCGAAAATCCCCTTTACCTGCATCTATCTCTACCTGCACGTGATGAGACCGGACATATCTTGGTGCTGTTAACATGGAAGCAAACAATTCCTCTCCAGATCAGTTAGGCAGTGGTTACAGAACACGCCCTTGAGAAATGGACTGCATGCTCTATTGAGTCCGGCTTGTGGGTGTGTTATAACCTTCACTAGCCTGTCTACTAAACCTTCCTCTGTCCTTGGAGGATTTGCACACAATGGCGTCCTTATCTCCCTGGCAACAACTGTAATACTTGAAAAGCTGAAATGGGTCCCTCATCACTACTGCCATCGAAATGGTGGGTGGCGGGAAGCGGAGAACAAGGCATCTTAACGTGTGCTCGCATTCTTCCTGAGCATCGTACAGAGCTTCAGCTACAAGGAAACGCTGAACAGATGTTAGAGGTGTCACAAGTTCTCCAAACAATAAAAAAAAAGGATTTGAAGTAGGACAGTATGGTTGAATGCAATAAAAAGCTACTAAATGAGATTTCCTGCAATAATCTCTTCTTATCTATGTGCATCATGTATGTTTACCCCTGCTGTAATAATGTTTCACTCCCCACAGAGCATTATTCCATGTTACCAAAGATATCGGTTGTTGTTCATCACCAGAATCTATTACTACTCCTTTCTGCCTGAGATATTTTCCATAGCAAGTCAAAAACGACTAGAGGTCTTCCTGACAGGCAGTCGTCAGCACTGTGTCTTTAAAACAGCTTTACAGCAGATCTGAGTGAATGTATAGTTTGTATTAAAATACTCTTCCTCACAGGCTGTGTGAAATGTCAAGAACGGAGTTTACATTACACCAGGCTCCAGAAGATACAGAGCCACTGCAGCGTCATGTCAGCTAGAGGGACCGGGATCAATTTTCATTTATTTGAAAATGACGTGTGGCGTCATATCATGCCAGATTCCCGGAGACAAATGCCTCTGCAATCATCATGCACCCGGATCTCTGCTGAGGAGGACACTGGATTGTTCTAACACTAGCACCATCCTGTGGTGGGATCGGAAAGATTGTAGGAGTCCATTTAGCCTTCATCTAGAAGGAAAAATCTAAATGTTTGCCTTCATATTCTTAGTAAAGTGTCTGAGCAGAGGGACGAAACCAAAGTATTGTCTTCAAAGTTTATAAACATTCTTTGAGTGTGCCCGTGTGGTGTGTGTGCCCTAGTGTGTGCCCGTGTGTGTGCCCGTGTGTGTGCCCGTGTGTGTGTGTGTGTGTGTGTGTGTGTGTGTGTGTGTTTGTGTGTCCGTGTGTGTGTGTGTGTGTGTGTGCGTGTGTGTGTGTGTGTGTGTGTGCCCGTGTGTGTGTGCCCGTGTGTGTGTGTGTGTGTCCGTGTGTGTGTGTGTGCCCGTGTGTGTGCCCGTGTGTGTGTGTGTGTGTGTGTGTGTCCGTGTGTGTGTGTTTGTGTGTCCGTGTGTGTGTGTTTGTGTGTCCGTGTGTGTGTGTGTGTGTCCGTGTGTGTGTGCCCATGTGTGTGTGTGTGTGTGTGTGTCCGTGTGTGTGTGTGCCCGTGTGTGTGTGCGTGTGTGTGTGCGTGTGTGTGTGCATTAGCCTGACCTGCCGCTGGATGACCTCCTCTGAGACGTTCTCTCCGGTAACCGCCGGTTCCATCACCCCCAGAATAATCAGCAGGCGGCTCAGCCCTGTAGCTGCTGAGAACTGCCGGACCTGGAGAGAGGGCACCAGCTTACCCCACCTGAACAAACGCACACATTCACAATA